GGGCACTGCACTATTAAGACATTTCTGTTAAATGTCACAAATCACTTTCGGCCTAGGGTATGCTTATTTTCCTGATGTATAGTATTACAGCTTTGTCTTCTGGCATAGTCGATCACTGAGGTTCCAAATGCCTTTTTCAAAATTTCCATTTCAGAGGATCTCGTATATCTTATGGTTGCCAAATTCTGGACTTTGTGCAGAGAAACTATTTTATGCATACTTCTTCACATGGTCAAAGGCAAATGTGATCATCACATTTAGGGAAGAAAAAGAATTATTCCCATTTCAAATGGATGGTCAGTATCATAGGGGAGGAGGAAAGAAATGAGGGTTCACAGCATTACTGTCTTTCATAGCCTCTGTAGTTTGCTGGTGCCACTCTCTCTCCTGCCTTCTGTACATTACCATCCCTTGAGAAGTAGAATACTTTGGTTTAATAGGGGTATGGAGCACTATACAGAAGTATTTGGGGAAAATGTAAACTGATGGTAATGGCTTCTTGGTCATAAGCTTTATACGTCCTTCCCTAACTCTTCTAAGTAGGTTCTTTGTAATATCTTCCTTTTCTCCTGCTGGCTTTAGATATATTTGATTCTTCAGCTTCACTTAACATGGAATTTGCCGCCCCCCTGCCACCATTCACTTTACTTTTTGCTAGTGTGTCCCATCTGAAATCTAGGGAGTTGGAGCGCTGTGTTATTCCTACGCATGATGCAGTCAACTATTTGAAATCTCCCTTGGCTCCATAAGGTTTGAATACACAAGAAACAATTCTGAGAAATGTCCACAGAAAATATCTGTGATCCCTTTGACTAGAATATACCTGTATTAATACTATTTGATATTAAAAATGGGGACAAAAGGATTGAATAAATGCTCATACTCTGCTTGCTTTTTAATACTTAAGCACAAATATGCTCGAGTAGAAAGAAAAAAAACTTCTTACCAGGAATGAGAAATGTGTTTCTGCATGTATGTTTTCACATAAAGGATATTATATGTGACTCCATAAAGTGCAATGCACAGTGCAGTTTGGTGACCTTAAAAAACAACCTACAGAAAGTACATTACCAGTGAAAGATATAAAAACACAGGATAAAATAATCTTAGTTAAATTTAACAGATACCGTTTAGGGATGTTTGCAAGCATTTTAGCAGCAGCAGATTAGCTTTACCTGTGACTCTTTTCATAACATTTAATCAGAAGGATTTAAATTATTCCATTCATACATTTTTAGTTGACATTTTTGGTCTAGAGCCTAGACAGATACAGTTATTTTGGTGAAAATGTGAATGCAAACCAGTGAATTCCATTTTCGTATTTACTTTCCAAGGAGGCTGTAATTAATACTATTTATTAGAGCCTTTCACCATGGTCTGCACTTAAGCATGTACCTGAGCCTGCTCATACAGTGCAGCGCTTCAGCACGGGAGTGATTTCTGGTGCGAGAATGGAGCTTAGACTGTCCTTTCTGTCCTTTGCTGTGGGGGTCCCACATGCAGATCAGAGCTTTCGCTTCACTATGAGAAATATCTTACCCTAGTTTGACTTTTTTTTTTTTTTTTTTAAAGGCATATCTAATAAACATTTGCTTGTCATATAATCAAATGATGATTTCTGAAACAGTTGGCTGCATCAAAGCATTTCTCAAGATTTCCCTGATTACTCACAGTTTTTTTAATACATCCATAAATATGAATGTGATCATTTACACTGCATATGGCAATATTGAACGACCTCAATTGGACTTCCCTGAACTATTGTATGTGACACAATAGCGTTGTTTTAAAAGAGGGGGGGGGGCATACCTTAGATGTGTGATGCCAGTTAGCAGCAGGCGTGCATGTTGGGTATCGTTGGCACAATTATCTTATCTGCCCATTTAGGACGGGTGGCAGATGCTTTAGCAAAGATTATAGGATGCCACAACATGATCAGCTTTTATCATTTTGTAACATTATAACTGTCAAATGTATATTCTACAAGACTTCAGTTTCACAAGACTTAATTACAAAAGGTTTAAACTTTGGTGTGATATTAGCAGAGCAGTTATTGCTATAACTTGGTGTCTTATGGATTTCAAAAATCATTTGTTAATGAAACTAGGAGATGTAGTTTTATCTTTGCTTGTTTTTTTAAATTATATTAACTTTTTCAGCAATGTATGGCCATAAAAGTTGTTATCTTGGTGTAAGATTATGTTATTACATTTAAAAATTATATTTATTCTTTGATGTATCAGCCACCTCTGTACTAAATTTTAAAAGTCATAAAAACAAAATTCTCCTGTGACATGTTGACCAAAATGTACAGGTAAGTGAAAATGTTACTTTAGACTCATCCAGGTCAGTCAGCCAGCTGATTACTGCATGCTCCAGCTTCACAGTGATGGAGACAAGCAGCAGTATATGTGTGATATAGTCAGTATAATAATAATAGCTTGATATGATAACCAATACATTTTTAAGAGAAGAAATCTGTCCTCATCATTATCTCCAGATTGCACAGCATAGCTGTGGCAGCGTGCAATTCAGTCAGGTGTGAGGGATGCTGAGTTTTAAAAGGGAGAAGTTGTAAATCTAAGTGACTCTGTGATATATTCTGTTCCAACCCATTGCTCATACAAAGTCAAGAAAAGAAAGACATGAAAACACATGTAACTTAGAGTCTTGTACTGGGGTGGTACTTTACCAGTTACGGGAGTCTCCCATCAGATTGTTTTTGAGGCCACCAACGTTATCAGCATCTGCTGTATTTGCAACTGATAATATGGAACCCTTACGAACAACATTAAATGGAAAGTGAAAATATCCACAGTACCTTTTGCCATTTTTGCGAGACACAAAAAATATTTTCTGATGTTTGATTTGGACCATGACACAGTTGGTAGGAGTGGAATAGATACCCCCAAATCTACCCTAGCAGCTAACAGTAGCAAAATTTCTCTCCTTCAATTCTGGCATGAACAATTCATTACCTAGACCACAATTCATTACCTGGACCATCTGACAGGGTAACAAATGGTGCAGACTGTTTCTCAGCTGTGAAGTGAAGACAGTCTAAGGTTTCTGTTCCGTTATGTGAGGAATGGAGCGGTAAGAAAAGGAAGGCAGCAGAGCTTTTGGCTCAGATGTGCCCTGATGACCATCAGAGAAGGGAAGGGCTGTTCCCACTGGCATGAGGGTCCTTGTAGCATTGCTCTGCCTGCCTCTGGCTGATGGGTCTTCACACATGCTGATGAGCACTCGCTACAGCTCTTCCAGGAGTTATCATTCTCTGACTCTTTATCCTCACATGTAGCATCAAAGTTTTCAGTTGTGGAATTAGGCTATGTGATGAACACTTCTATGACTTGCAGACCATCAGTTCTGCATAGAGTTTTAAGTCTGTAATAGGGTAATAGTAAGTGAGGCAGGTACAAATGTATGTCAAAAAGTTAATAGAAAATGCTAATGCAAAGACAAGAATATCCCCAACCCCTGTAGGCTGTTCTTAAGCTTTGAAATTAGGTCTATCAAATCTTCCCAAGACTGTGAAGAAGAGTTTCAGTTTGATGTGAGGCAACTTCTGACATTTCATAATCAGAGGCAAAAATTGCATGCAGCCATGTCTGAATGTATGGAGACTTCTTCAGTTTTTCTGACTAGTGGACAATTTTAATTGAACATTCTGCATTTAAAAAAAATTAGAACATTTTTCCTTGACTGATAACTTGTGACCACTACCACAGGATATGAATTCAGTTTTTCCCAGTCAGTCATTTTATAGATAGACAAGTACCGGTAAGAAACTGATTTGCAAAGTAGCACTCAGTATCCTTCATGGAAAAAGGCCAAAAGGGAGTGTTGATATAATATCTTTTTTTAAATCATCTTCTTACTGTAGATTTTTACTACTTTTGGGGGTCTGATGGCAATTCTTATAATTTACTCACAAATGTACTTTCTAATCCCTGAATCAAGGCTGGTGACACGTACTTCTCACTGAAGCATTAATTTATTAACCCAAAAGCATTTTAAAAGGCAACTTTTAGAGGAAGCCTGACTAGAAACATTGTGAAGGAGCAGATAGCTTCTCTTCTTGACATTATCACATAATTCAAGCTGCAGTTGTCAATCCTAATGAAGGTGGTGATGCTGATCAGAGCATATTGTTTATATGATATGCAAGAGCTTTGGGAGATACGGAGTCCCTGTTGCTATCATTTATAATTAAAGTGTCCATCACTTTTCTCTGAAAAATTGCTTAGCAAATAAATAATTAAAGGTCTGCTTCTGATACACTTAGATGAAGTGAGAGAGATAAACTTCTGAGAACAAGTCCAAATGCAGTAAATGGAATTTCTTCAAAGTACAGATTCAAGATAAATAATGGTATTAGATTCTCAGTCAAAGCCAGTTCATGGTTTTTAAGGCAGGAGGTTATTCTGGTTTATGTGCTTTAAAAATCTAATCCCACAGACGTCTAAGACTGTTCGCTTACAAACAACACCTGACATTGTCTATCATGCCTAAACATGTTATCTTTTAAGTGCAGTAGAAACTAGTTCTAAAATTAATGGCTCCATAAGTGCTCCCTACTTATTCAGACAGCCAAAGATAAATTGTTAATCTGATGTTTTGTACAGTACAGAAGCTTTATAAAGCTTTGTGTTACCTAATGGGTATATTTTGTTACAAATATGTCTATTTTATAAAGGACTTTCTTGGATTGTTTCACTGAATTGATATCTAAAAGAGGGGTTGTTCTTAAGTGATGTTTCTTTTCATAGTTTCTGAAATAATTGAAAAGGGTTGAGGGGAATTTTTTGAAATACAAATGATTTTACGTGCTTCCATTGTGTTTCAGTAATAACCTTGCTTCCATAGTAGTTGAAATAACTGTAAATATGCAAGTCCCTCACAGCATTGGCAGGGAGAATTTCAGTTGATTTTGCTACCTTGAAATTAACCTTTTATTATCGCATGCGTATGTTTGTCATTTATCCCCTTTTTCTCAGGTGCAAAGAGGGCTACCAAGGAGTCCGCTGTGACCAATTTTTGCCGAAAACCGACTCAATCTTGTCAGATCCAAGTACGTCAAATGTTTTTCTTATATTTTTAATCCATGCTGGAGGCTATTCTTGCCATGCGAGATGACCCTTTGCCTATTGTCAGAAAGCATATTATGGACCACTGCCGTTGTGTGTAGAGAATGGTGTTGCTTTTGTTGGTAGGACAAAAACACATCCTCCAGTCTCTTATAAAACATGTTCTGCTGCAGTAGGGCAGGCCATCAGAGGACTTGATTCCTTATGATTTGGAATAATACTGTCCCTGCTTAAAGCCAAAATATTCACTTTTCTCTACTTTCGACTCAAGAGCAAATAAAATTGCAGAATCTAAAAGGAAACCAAGTATAGGCTGCAAAGTGATTCCTTCAAAAGAAGATAAATTCAGGTGGCCTGGAACTGCAGAGATTATAATCTCCTTGGAAATATGTGATATCAGTTTACACAAAACCCAATATTTTTTTCACTTCTACAAGTGGAGTTGCTCTGTATTTGCAGAGTAAAGGTATGGTCTCAGATAGTAACGTGGAGACAAAGTAACTCTCTATTACACTGTTAGGTATATGCCAGAATACCATCTGTCTATATGTTCTCCTACTCCACTGTTGCATTTTTAAAACTCTGTTTCCTAACAAAACTATGTCAAAAGTATTAGCCAAGATGAGTTTCTTAGAAGTGAATCCATTTACTAATTAATGTTGTTCATCTTAAATTTTTGAATGAAGTGACATACAACAAAGGGTCATATCCAATCTCTTGTTTTTGTTCTTATACCTGGAAACTGTAATGTATTAAGTCTTCTGGTTTTGGGTGCTGTTTAAAATTTGATTTGGGTTGTTTTGTGCTTTTTGAAGAATAATGCTTGTTCTTCTAGTCTTTTTTTGTGCTTTCTGTTTATTTTCTTGTGCTTTTCCATGTGAAAGCCTGTTGCCAAAGACATCTGTTGTTTTGTAGTTCTCTGTGTTGTAGAGCTCCCATTATAGTTTGCTTTGTGTTTGGTTTAGCTTTTCCTTTTGCTTGACCTTTAATGGTAAAGTGCAGAGCCTGTAACGAATAGGCAGGCTTTACCTCTGCCAAGTTGTAGGTGCATGTGTAAACACAGAAGTTGTGTATATGTCAAGGGAAGAGGTACTTTGCTTCCTAAAAGTGGGGGAAAGGAAAATAAGCTGACAGCAGGACAGGGTGGTAACTATCTGTCTTGGTTTTAACAGGGAACTCTAGCTTTACTCTCTCGAGAGTAGAGATGAAATTCATATAGATACAATACAAATGCAGAAAAGACTCCCCAGTTAAGCTGCATCTAACGAGGCCAAAGTCCCTACAGTGTTTATATACTGTGGAAGGTATTGTTGTTGTTTCTTTGCAGCATTGTGTTGGTTGCACAGACTTGTTTCCCTTTACTTGGGAGATGCTTACTTACCCTGGTTGGTTTCCATAAAATTGTGCAGCCACCTGATCCTGCTCAGTAAACTAAGGTTCCCTGAAATGACCATTTTACAACTTCTGACTACAAAGGCAATTTTATTTTATTTTATTTTATTTTATTGAGGGTTGCTTTCAAAATTATGTTACTTAGGTTATGTAAGAGCAAGGGACCTTGGCTTGATGTTGACATAGATCCACTGGACATACCTATGGCCCAAGAAGGGCCTCTCTTCCAATATAAAGAAAAAAGGTTAATGTCAGTTAGGTACTTTCCCAGTCAGTTTTGAAATTTAACTTGTATTTAATCCTCATTTGCATTCAAAAGAGGAAAAGATTCTGTTCAGGTGCATTTCTGTGTGTTGGTATAGCGTAATGTATCTGCGTGTATGTGTGTGCATATGCACTTGTTCTAAGCATGCACAGCCTGAAAGGGAGATATTAGAAACTTTCTGCTGCAGCTGGACAGTGGCAACATGAACATTTTGCTCAGGAGTTAAATTAGTAATGTATTTATCTTCCCTCTGGAGAGGAAAAAAATCATACCATGCTGATTATCAGCAGTCAGTGGCAGAAATCTTTGCTATTTGCAGACCTGAGGAGTGTAAAAAGTATTTGACACAGTAGTCAAGTGCAATATCATCATCTCCAAAGGCTCTGGTGTTGCCTTGCAAAAACTTAGTTTTGTGGTTGAATGTGTGTTTGGATTAGGAAGAGAACTGCTGAAGGGACACTTAAAAGGGTGAATTTGGAGGTGGCTTCAGAGGGAAGCAATTTTTTTTAAATGAAAGGCTTAATTTCCAAAAGTTGAACAGTCAGATGAGTGCTCTTGTGTCTGTACTGCATGTAGCCAACAATGGCTGGTGTCAGTCAAGCTTTATAAGCAAGTCCAGCTCATTTGAGTTTTGTGAGATTGCTTAGGGTTCTCAGTAGTAAATGTGTTCAGAACTGCTAATGATGCATCTGAAAACAATATTTAGCTTATTTGAAGTGTGCATGCATGAAATACTGAAGCAGTATGTTTTTAATCTTACCTTGCCTGTGTTAGTGCAGGTTATATTTTCAGCACATTCACATGTCATTAAATGGGAAGTGATTCTGGACCACAGTCACTTAGAAAATAACAACAATATTGTCTTAAAAATGTTAGTTGTTTACAGGTGCAAGAGTTTTGGTTTGGTTTTGTATGTTGTATATTTTTTAAATACCCCTCTAAAACGAACCAAGCTTGTACAGTATGGCCGTTTTCTGAGGTTGCAAAGTGATAAATAATGTGATATGGCTCTGCAGTATTTTTAATGGTATTGGGCCAAACCCATCTTCTTACCTCATTTTAGGTGTGTATGTTAGGCAAGTCTTGACTTTACATCCCAGATATGAATACAAATTATGTAATACTTAATATAGATTAATGCATACTGAATCATGTCCATGTAGTTTAGTTAAACTAAATGGTTAAGATATTTAAGAATCTGTTTTTGGGAAACCTCTTGGAACTACCTGATGGCGTTTCAGAGTTCTTGAATTGGCATCCATGGCTTCTTGCAGTCAGATCTGCCACTTACTACCTTCCTTCAGCTCAAAGTTGGGATCAAATTAATAAGAAAACAGACGTAGGACACACATAAAGCAATGTCAAAACACCCCAAACACAGGCCCTTCTACTGGACCTTCAAGCATCATAGATGTTAACAGCTTCCACTTCCCTTAATTTCTCTACTCTTAACCAGGTTTTCTGGCTATAAGTGAAAGATGTTTAAAAAAAAACAAAAAAAACAAACCAACAACAAAAAACCCTAACCCAAACGCAAGTAGTTTAAGAAGTTTGTTAATCTTGGAATATGGGAGAAACCTTCCTAAACCATGGGAGCCACAAGGAACCTAACAAAATTAATATCACCAATAAGGGAAAAGGCTGCATGCTGCATGACAGTGCAACCCATGCTCACAGTCGCTATCAAGAGGAGGGACTCTGTCAGCCCTGCTAATACTGGACAGCACAAGTCCATGAACTCTCTCAGTCATATTCTCCTTCATCTATGGAGGAAGTACTAATGAGACGAAGAGAAAAGAAATAGCAGTCGCATGCTGGAAGGAAAGGATAGGAGTATATTTGAAACATTGCTTCAGCTTTCTCCATCTGGGCTAACTTCTCTATAAATACAGTTCATGGCAATGGTAGAGCACTTACATTTTCAACATTATAAATACAACTTTAATATAACTTTATGTACAAGTCATTTTTCAGGCATGTGTAGTCCTGTGTGTATCTATAGGATTGGGAACTTATATACAACATAAATTGTACAAATGTACTCATGTACTATCCTTTATAGTGTTCTGGAGTAGACCTGCCTGGCCCAACGAGTCTTGAAAGGTAAGTTGTATGTAGGCTGCAGATATTTCTCTTGATCAGTTTTTATACTGAGGCCTTTAAAGCTTTGACTGTTCTCTGCAGATGTTCCAAAGCGGTGAACAAGGCATTGAGAATGGGTTTGTCACACTACCTGTTTTTTACCAAATTGTTGAACTCCACCTTCAACTATTTTGTTCTTAACTTAGCATTGAAAGCTACTTTCCTATACAAAAAGTGTATTTCAGTTTTATAATGTGCAGTATTGATTTTATATTTGTCATATTAACATTCAAGTTGTCCCATTTGACCTCAGAAGCTTAAGTGAAGAGAGATCCCCTATCAAATATTGGGAATGTTATCTGATCCTTTTTCAAAATAAATGCATTATTTTCTAAAAGAAGAAAAATATGGTGGAAAGCTTATAGGTCATTAGGCCAAGGTCCTGCTGTTGCAGTCAACCCCATCATGTAATTCCTTCTGTAAGCTGATCATACTTCATTTGCATACCACTTACAATCAGCGTGAACTAGCCACTAGAAACAGGTTTTGTTTATCATCTGTGCTTTGAGAGTTTTAAGACTTTTCAGCTTCCACACAAAATCTATGGACGGCCCAAATTTGTCAATTACATTCTTTATTAAAATGTGCGCTTTGTTTCTACATTGATATTTTTTCCTGATGGTTTCCACCGTGTTACACTTTGGGTCTTTTAAACCGGCTTTTTCAAATGTCAGAAGTCTTGTTCCTATAGAGCTAGCTATAGCCTGTGGTCTTATAATACTTTAACCTGCGACAGCATGGCACACATTACGTTTCTTTTTGAATTTCATCAAAGAGAAACCTGCAAGTGTCATGTCTGGAATCTGCAGTTACTTATTCATACATTACCTCTTTATGTAGCAAAGGATCAAAACCCCTCTCCTGGAAGACTGGGACTTTAAATAAGTACAACAACTCCAGATAGTTTAAAAAGGAAAAAATTGTTTTTCCAGAAATGTATTCAAACCCTCAAGACCCACACTCACCTCCTCCAAAAAAAAGGCCCCCCAAAAAAGGAAACAAAAATCTTGGGCTTTTTGCCTGTTTTTTTTTTCTTTTTCTCTCTCCTCCCACCCCTCCAGTTTTGTGTTTGTAAGATCATAGGATAATTTACGTTGAAAGAGAAGTCAGGACTTCTCTGGACAACTCGGGAGGTTCAGCCTCCTGCTTTAAACAGAGCTGGCTTTGAAGTTTCTGCTAACTGCA